CAGCATACAGCATACAGCATACAGCATACAGCATACAGCATACAGCATACAGCATACAGCATACAGCATACAGCATACAGCATACGGCATACAGCATACGGCATACAGCATACAGCATACAGCATACAGCATACAGCATACAGCATACAGCATACAGCATACAGCATACAGCATACAGCATGCAGCATAAAGCATATTCAAATTGCAAATAAAATAGCAAAAAACAAAAAAACAAAACAAAAAAGTTATTTTACCAGCTCTTATGTGTATATATGCACACTTATCTTATCTTTGGCTGTTTTAGTTTGATATAATATATACTTATAAAGTATTTATATTTATTGTTTAAATACTCAACTTTGATACAAAGTGCTTAGTTTTTTGTAAGTTTGTACAGTGTACTTCGATTTGCATTCTATTTTAATTATCAGTTGAACCTGAACACACGTTTGCTTAGTAGATATGCGCATACATACATACATATGTAAATTGATAGAGCTGTGGACTTTAGGCACTTTCGTTGTTGCTCGTTTTTTGAAGTATTCGCTTGAGCTATTGCTTGAGTTCGTGTTAAAGGAGCGTAGGAAAGCTTTTGTCCTAGCTCTCACTCATTTCCACTCATAGATTTGAGAGAGCTTCGCACTCTCTCTAGCTCGCGCTTTCAATCTGATCATTACGCTCTGCTGCTTTGTCCTTCGCACTTGAAACTCTATTAGCTTGAGCTGCTTTTACATATGCAGGTCTAAGTCTTAAGCGCACTCTTTCTAGCACGCGCTTCACTCTCATTTTTGTCTTTCATTTTTTTTATTGGTCATTGATCTTTCGATTTGGTTGACAACTATTTTGCTTTGCATTCCACTAAAATGTCTCACACTCCTTCGGCACAAATGAAAGCTCCCACTCGCATTACCATCAAGGCGCTCTCCCGGTTTGTCCTTCCCATATGAGTTCATATTTGCTTGAGCTACAGACCCAGGGGCGCATTTACAAGGGAGCAGAATAGACAGTTACCCGGGGTTCCCGAAAAATGAAAGAGTCTATTATAATGGAAAATGAAGAGAACGGACGTGATAAAAAGGGCCCAGAAATTGATGGGCTAGGGCTCCGTTGGGGGTAATCCGGCCCTGTGCAGACCTCTGACTTACTCACACTCTCACTCTCATTTTTACGCTCTTCTGCTGCGATTGGTCAATGATCTTTCGTTTTGCTTTGCAGCTACTTTCGCACTGCTTGTTTGGCTTTTAATTAAGAGCTTAGCTTAGAATGCACTCTAAGCGGGCGCTCGCGCTCTCTCTTCTGCTTACTCCTCTCCACATTAGCATTCTTACTCTCATTGTTAGGCGCGCCAACTGTTGCTCTCCCGCTGCGATTGGTCAACTTTCTTTCGCTTGTCTTTTGCAGTCGTTCCGCCACTTGAGCAGCTTTTTGTTTTGATATCTTCGTATTAGTTGCGTTTGGTCGCTTGCCGCCAGCAGTTGTGGATCGCCTGCGCTAGCCATTGACACTGCGCACCTCATTCTCAATATTATCGACATTATCATAGCTTTTCGATTATCGCGCGTAAATAGAATTGAGTAAGTAGCCAGGCAGACATACATACATACAGACATTCATACATATGTATATCGATACTTTTGCATATTCATGAAAAACAAATGAATTCGCCCGTCCCAATGCAGCGCACTGCGAACACAAATCCAAAGTTTAATGTGAAACTTTCGCCACTAACGAGTTATTTTCTTTCGCCTTCGTTTTGTATTTGTTTTCGTGCCTGGTGCGGATCCAGGAACCATGTCGCTGCTCGTGGTGCTGCTCATTTTGTACATCATTTGGGATGTTAACTACTTCATCCGCTGCATTTTCACGGTGCTCGCCGGCCGGCTGTTCCAGGGCAAGCGCAAGGTGACGGACACCACAACCATCTACGGGCTGTGCACCTCGCAGGACGTGGACATCTTCCTGCGGCACATGAACAATGCGCGCTACCTGCGCGAACTGGACTTTGCTCGCTTCCACTTCTATGCGCTGACCAATCTCTACGAGCTGGTGCGTCAGCGCGGCGGCGGCGCCGTTCAAGGGGCCAGCAGCGTGCGCTATCGTCGCACCATTCCCATCTTCCATCCATACAAGATCCAGACGAGGCTCGTCTGGTGGGACGACAAGGCCATCTATCTGGAGCAACAGTTCATCACGCTGGCCGATGGCTTCGTCCGCGCCGTCGCCCTCTCCAAGCAGTGCATCACCAAGTGCAATGTCAACGAGCTGCTCAAGACCTATCCCGAGGCGGCCAAGCGGCCAGAGATGCCGGCGGATCTCAAGCTCTGGTTGGATGCCATCGAGGTGTCCAGCCAAAAGCTGCGCAAAGACAAATGAGCTCCAATTGGGCCGGTCCAATTGGAATGAACTGAATCCAATTTCGTTTACGTGTAGTTAAGTCTCTTCTTCGCCTTCCTCTTTCTTTCCCATCAATATTTTTTTTTACACTCTTTAGGCTTAGTTTCTTTTGCTTTCCCCTTTTCTTCATCGGTTCGTTTGCATAAATAAAATKAAATATATTTTTGTATGAGGCTAAAAAACGGGTTGTCTTTCTTGCTGGGGCAACAATGGCCTTACGTGACGTAACATTGCATAACGTAGTGTGATGTCAGCAACGGATTTAATTGTATATTGTCTATGACAATATTAAGTGTGTGCTTAACGTAACAACGTAACGTAATGAAACGTAACTGGAATTAACGTAATCAAGGGTGTCACTTAAAAGATGATATGAGATGCATGTATTTTCGATTGTCATTTAATAATATAGGCATGACGTAATGTTACGTAACAAAGCTAAACGTAACGCAAAGTCAGAAGGTTTACGTTTGTACCTATGTATAATTTATATGAGTTATGGAAATAATTTACGTATAACTATAACGAATAATATCATTACGTATGTAACGTAACGTAAGCAACTGTGTAAGTTGCTACACAGCTTTCTATGTGTCCCGTTAACTAAAGCTCAACTATTTAAGTGCTCAGCTGTTCAGTAAGCTTTCCACTTACGAAGTTTATTTTCGGAAGTTACTAATCAAACATAATTAGGTCTTACGTTATTTTGCACATATCCAATCCATCATTTACGTAACGACAGAGCTGTAAGAGCACAGCTTTCACTTTGATCATTAAAGCAAATTTTTCCCAAATTGTTTCCAAATTTAAACATTAATTATTATAATCTCTTATACCCTGTAACTTGTGAAGTGTCCCAAATAGGCTGACCAACTAAATGCCTTAGATCAAATAGGGTATATATTAGCATGCACTATCAGCTGGTGCCATTCAAGTATGCTCTACATCTGTATTTACAGGGTATACGCCCATCGACTACTCTTAAGCGAAACAGTGTAGCAAATTTGTTGGATAATTTATTACTTTAAGGCATCGGTTTATTTATATTCATTTTAAATCACCGTACGCAAGAGCTTAAAGCTTTTGTTGCAACTAAAGCTTTTAGCTTTTGTAAAGGGAACTCACACTAAACTTACATAGATACTAACGCGCTCAATTTGAACAAAAGATGGATTAATATTTACGCCACATAAGAGGTATACTTTGCTCTATATTCAGTGTGAAATTACTTCAGACTTAGAATAGATTGACATAAAGTCCTTAGCTACGCCTTTTGTTGTTTGAAAAGGTAACTCTTAGTCGTATACTCACTT